GTTACAAATAGATTTAGATAACATCGTATGGTAAATTTAGAATAATTTAGTTATACATGGAAAAAGGAACGAAAAATAAAATAACGAAACTAGAAAAAAACTTAAATAACTTTAACAGTTACAATATAAATTTGTAAAGCGCTATCAGAGGCTTATATTAATTTAATTAATTTACTTCTAGTTTAATTAATGGCTAATTTGTTGTTTTTTTTTAATTAAAAGCTATGTCTTTCTTTAAATTTTATTGCTAATTGTTTGTTTTCTCTTTTACTTATCATTTTTCTATTGTAATTAATTAGTATTGTTGTTATTTTATTTGATTAATTACTTTTGCTTATTGAATAGAAAAGCTATTTGAGTATTGTGAAATGTTTTCTTAATGTAAGGCATATCAATTGTTTCAATAGAATTTGTTGTTGTTTAATAATATTGTTTTCATATTTTCTTTATTTTCTGTTGCTAAACTTATGTTGGATGGATCAAGGAAAAACAACATTTTCTTTTAATTAAATAACAATGTACATAAATCCTTGGTAAGACTATATACAACATATATTTTTCAAACCCCAATACTCAATTATATACCGATTCCATTTATTAAAAATATTGTTCTAAAAATTCAATTTTTTTTATTTATTTATATATATGGGCAATATTGCCAATTTTTTAATATTCCATTTTCTAAAAATCAGCTTTTTTGTTTTTGTGGCACATCAATGATTTTTGGTACACATATAGAGAAAAATGTTCTGACTCCGAAACCGTTCGCGATCAAATTTTTGGTTGATGCGCGCAAAAGTTATCGAGGTTTTAATGTTGGGCATAAGAAAAAAATCTTAAAATTACGCCGTTTATTATATTGATCAAAAACGTTGATATATGTCTTCCTCCGTAAAGTAAGAATATGAATATATTATAATAATCGCGATAAAGTTGCACATTTTCGCGAAATATGAGAAAAATGATAAAAATATAGGATTTTACGTCAATATTTTCATTATATTAATGACATACACACACCTAAAAATTTATATAAAAATATATACATAATCTAAACACCATGATGAATCAAATGATATCAAAATCACACAAGTCCGTGTAGCGGTTTGTAAATCAGAGCGACAACAAATCAAGATATTGAGGAAAAATATTTGTTTTTTGTTCGAAAAAATAATGTCATCATATTTATTTTTCTAATTGTATACAAGAAATTTCAGAACAAAAATGTTGGGGTTATTCTGCTATTTTGCCCAAATTTCGCCGAAAAATTGACATATTTAAAAATAATCACATTTGGTGTATAAGTATACACCTTGTGGATTGTAGCAAGACCCTTCCGATAAATCTTGGGGTTCTATAAATAGGAATAAATCTTAAAATAAAATAATATTATGAAATATACATTTTAAATTGCGTCTAAATCGCGTAATTCTCAAAATCATTTGATGCGCATGCGGTTTCCAGGAAATACTGAAGTTTATCTTCCAATCCATATATATTTTGCGAAATTTCATTTGACGGCTAAGATGTGCCACACGTTGCATTGAAGTACCCAAAAAATCGTAAAACGCGAATAATTTCCGAAAACTCCATATGCCATTAACGCGCATCCGATTTTGGTGTGCACCCTAAAAAAATACATCGATCTATACCGATTTCAATGTGGTCCATTAAGAACCATGGATGTGCCAGCTCACACTATTTTTGAGATAAATTGCGTCTAAATCGCGTAATTCTCAAAATCATTTGATGCGCATGCGGTTTCCAGGAAGTACTGAAGTTTATCTTCCAATCCATATATATTTTGCGAAATTTCATTTGACGGCTAAGATGTGCCACACGTTGCATTGAAGTACCCAAAAAATCGTAAAACGCGAATAATTTCCGAAAACTCCATATGCCATTAACGCGCATCCGATTTCGGTGTGCACGCTAAAAAAAATTCATCGATCTATACCATTTCAATGTGGTCCATTAAGAACCATGGATGTGCCAGCAAAATCTATTTTTGAGATAAATTGCGTACATCTCTCTTTCGGCTGAAGTTTTTAAAGTTCTCTTTTCGAAAAAGATCAAAATCTGTATGAGATCATTTATTGAAGCGGAAATGATACACAGAAAACGCAAATAAATCCGCGATATTTTCAAAAACATTTTTTGCCAAATTTCGTGTTTTTGGAAGGCCAGTTCCCGCCGTTCTGGTAGATGGATTTTCACGAAGAAGATTTTATATCATCCGAAACGTAAAAAACCTTATTGATCGCGGGTACCCATATCATTCAGTTGACAGATCTAAAAATTTGGCCCGAAAAAAAGGTTTTTTAGAAATTTGATCGCGCAAAATTCGCACCTTCGGATGAGTATAACTCTGAAGCTGTGCATACTACATACACAAAATACATATCAAATTACGCAGATTCGCGACTACAATAATCTTATAATCGATTTTTATAAATTCCTGTTTGCATATTAAAGCTAGAAGTAAAATTAAAAAAACACTCAAAATCCAGCTTCAAAATGTCAGCATCATTTAATGGTAGATGCAGTGAAAATTTTGAAAAATGATACATAAGGGGCGTAGTCCTCATTTTGTTGGCTTTTAGTTTTATTTTGACACGAAGACCGTGCAATGAGTGGCTTAGTCACAAATCGATAGAGAACATAATAAAACTGGTTCGCCTCAACCTGTTTTTACATATTTTTTTACATAAAAGCTGACACAGCTTCCACCAAAATAAAGTTTAGAGGTCAATATCATGAGCAGTTTGCAACGACAGATCAATTTACCCAAAACTATTCACTGTTTTTCATATACTTAAGTAATTCCCGAGTTATAAAGGGGTGAACCTCCGCTTCAGCTATGTTAAAAAATTGGCAATATTGCCCATATATACTTTCGGAATTTATCGTGTTCATAAAATATTGTTTTCTAAAAAGAAAAACAAAATACAATACAATTAAAGGTTAAACATGTCGTACCAGTAAAAATGTTTAAAAAAATCCATGTATTATCTAATCCATGATCTGTACCAGGGAGAGTATGTGGAGAAGCAAACGAAGCCATCTACAAATTTTATTTAATCTCCAATTCTTCATCTATTAGTAATCTGACTTTTCGTGCTTTCAAATATTTCAGTCTATAAGCAGTGTTTCCAAACAAATACATATGTTTAATAAAAGGGGGTTTCAATCAGAGATCTTTTTTAACTACACGATATTACAGAAGCTGTCCCTTTTGAACTTTTTATTCGTTGACATTTGAAACTATTAAAACATGCAGAGGCTCTCGAAAAATTCAATCTATTGGGACAATTTAGAGATGTAAAGAATAAAACCCATGCACATTGCTCAATATCAGCTGAGAATATTGAACCAGTAAACCAGGTTCCATTCGTTGTCGTTCTTTGAAATGTTTCAGAATTCCATGGAAAATCTATTTGATCTCAATGGGTCTCAGAAAATCCGAAGCCACCTAATATTGAGAAGCATATTCTATATTCAACGTGTGCGGTTTATGGTCCGACAATGTCATTGCCCCTTAATTTTTCGAAAGTGAGTTTGGATCAATAGATTCAATTTATGAAATAAGCTTTCGAGAGATGATTAATGGTTATCATGATGGTATTGCCCCGGATAACGTTTACTATCAACCATACGGCTTTATCAACTTCACAAAAAACTAATCTCTCAAAGAGCAACCGGTGTTTTGTGATTTAACACCTTGCGACTTTTCTATTTGGGCTCACGTGAAATATGTTGTCTTCTCTTAAAGCCTCGAGTGAAGGTGCTATCGAGGACAGAGGGTAGCAACTTTGCGATTGGTATGCGTTATCGTTGTGAACAAATAGCTGATATTATTTTTCTTTATTATTATTGACAATCCATCCTTTCCGATAATTAATCTCATAAAACTAACTTCTTCTTTAAATAATAAACTGCATTCGAAAGTCGAATAATATTTTTTTTTTCAAATAAGCAATTTAACTAACTTTTTGATTTCTTATAAATTTCCATGTTCGGAACAATATTAATTTTGAACATTTTTATTGTTGTATTAATTATTATTGTACCGTAATATCTTACGGACTTTTTTAATTTTTATGTAATTATTTTTTAACAATTCGCTGTAATATATTCCTTAAAGGTCGTTTTGTACAAATCTTAAATATATTTTTGACTTTAAAATTTATTGAAAAATATTTACGATTTGAGTTATTTAAATTTTTTAAATTGTCAAGGTTTATTCATAAGGTTAACTGATAGTCGAATCCTTGCTGTCAAATTTTTAATCGCGTAATACCATACAGAACAGGATAAAAATTCAAAATGTATTTAAAAAAATATTTTTTGTTCACTTGTTCGTCAAAAAATAAAGTTGACAGTCAATAGAGACCTCGAATTCGCCTCGCTGTAGACCTTATTAAATATACCATGAATGTTGTTTTTCCTTGATTATCCCATGTTGGGAACAGTGATGTTTTGTATAGAGGCACAATGTAAATGAAATGTTTGTATGTAAATGTATATGTATGTTTTAAGGCAAGCTTAGATGTGATACAGAGTTGTAGAATTTCCTAATATATATATTTTTTTTTTTTTGGTCATCAACTAAATAAAATATTTTTTTATTTTTAAAAACAATATATTTGATATTACTGCTATAGCATTTTGAGAAATTTGAATGTTTTTATTATTTTCACTAATTTTGCCAAAAACTATTTATGGATAAAAATGTAAATATGGATTTTGAGATAATGATTTGAATGAAACCGCTAATGGAAAGCCGCATATCCTACAAATTAATACAAAAAATTGCTACTTAAAAATAAATATAACACTTAAAAAAATCACAAAACACAATATGATCACTAACATTCTTATATAACTGATCTAATTAAACAATCTATATATAAAGCCTCTTTTATTATTTGTTTTCAATAATTTGTTTTTTTTTTTTCACTAATTACTACAACAAAACACCATTTGTAAAATATAAACTATGTGCGTACGTAATTATTAGTATTATTGCCATTACTGTATAGAACAAACAGCCGAAGAGCCGCTATATTGATTATTAAGTCTACGTTTCATACCCTCTAGGTAAATATCACGACAGAAGAGACCAGCTGCCAATGGAATGCTATAATCCAAAAAAAAAGAAATATAATTATTATATCGTATAAAAAATAATGTTTGTTGCAACTTACGAATCTGTACCCGCCCTAATTAATGTCTTAAATAATGCCCACACCGGTTTATGATCGGAGGTTACAATGGACGGTACTGAATCGTACAGTAAACACTGTACAAAGGGTGGTGTCGGTGATGGTAAACCGGGTACAGTACTCTGTCGTCGCATCATTAAACCCTGAGCTTGACGATATTTATAGAGTATTCGATCGGTATAGGCCGGAGCCCGTTGTTTGGAAGATGTATCAAAATGTTGTGTGCCAGGATCATACTGTAATGAATGCGAAAGAGAAGGTTTATTAATAAATTATTTAAAAAATAGTTTTAGGTTATGAAAATCAACAGGCAGGAACTTCGATTATCATCTGAATAGCGGTAATGACAAATTGCTGCCACTTTGGAAATTGAGGTGATTCCTTTTAAATACAAAAATCGGGTTGGCAGCTAACACTCCAAATATTGGGATTGGATCGTTAAAGTGTTTATGGTCTATAAAAAATTGGCCTCGAATATAGGACCAACTAGGAAGTTTTTAATCATATGCGTATCTGAAATACCATTTCCGTATTCACCTTCGACTTTCATATTACCTAAAATCAGGCTGAAGTTAATCCCCAACTCTGTCAATATAGGAACTTCTGATGTAAATTTTTACAGAGAACAGTTTTTTGTAGCTTTTAAGAATGCTATTTGAAAATCATAATTTGGCGGAGGCGGGTTGATGTGTCAAAAAATATAATATAAAAAATTTATATACGATTACGAACGGACAATTTAGTTGAAAGATTCCGACCTTCCTTCCTTGAGTTAATGATGAACAATGATTCTCTATATCAGTCTTCATGTTCAGTCTTCAATTCAAAGGAATAACCTTACACCTTCTGATTGAAATCCTGTAGAGCATTTCTGCAATATCAGTTTTTAGATTTATGGCGGTCATACAACGAAATGTTTTAGAGATTACTCAGCCACAATTCTTCTGTGGAAAATTCGGGTTAAGATTGGCTGGCAATATTTGGCGGTGACATGTGCTAGGGTGTAGTGGCACTTTTTTGGCCCATAATTTGCTATCTACTGGCTATTTACTGGCGGTAAAAAGGCAGCTCCATATGGTAGCAATTCTTCTCACCTTGGGAATTACTACGTAAGCCAATGTCCACAGTGCTCAATCTTTTTGGAGTCATAAAAAGACGAACTGCAATTAATACCCTAAAGAACTTAGAAACACGATGCATTGAAGAACTACAGCCCATCATCACACCCTTTATACCTTTACAACATTATTAATATACTTATTTTTAAAAATATCGGTCGATTCATCTTACCTTATAGGTGGGTGGAAAAGTAATATTTGCCTCCATAAATCCACGAAATGCCGCACCATCTGCCAACACCGACGACAACTGATCCGTATGCATGTAACCATGTGGCAAATGGGATGGCAAGGGGAATTTCGTATTCTGTATCCATTCCAATAACTTTTCCCTTGGTTCGCCCAAACGAAAATTGAGATCACCACACCAGAAAACATTATCAAAATTCTGTGTCACATCCTTATTTTTGTGACGTAAATTGAGATTCTTAGGTAAATCCAATGCATGAATGATACGCTTAACATCCGAAACACGTTCCTTAACCTTCTGCTGATGAGCCGTTAAATGCGAGGTAACGAAAAGCATTGATGTACCAAATAGACAAAATGATATTGCCACGGCGCCCTTTGTACGAAATGCTGAACCGGTTCTCACCGACAAACTGGCATCTTCGGGTGCCGAACAATACCAAATTAAATCTCGTCGCATATACACCGCCAAATGGAGTGTGCCCAATGTGGTGGAGTGAAATAGTACGTGGGATGGGCCAAGTGTCTCTTGTATGGTGACTTCCCATTCAAAACGATCTGGACTAGATTCCTGGGTGCCAATTGCCACAATATCTGGGACATGTTCAACATTTGAGGGTAACACAAAGTCATTCAATTCCCTGAAAAATGTTTTTTTATTACTACTTCAAAAAGTATGTCATTGTCTGTACTTACTTGGGTGGGCTTTGCCCATTCATGTTCCAGGTACCCACAAATATTGTCACCTCCTTAGTGGGCAACACTTTATTCAATTCACTTGGCCCCAGCAAGGAAGAGGATCCCAAACGGCCATCCAAATAACTCCTGAAGTTGCCAAAATTCTTAATTAACATTTTTTCATACAAATGGAACTCAATTCCCTTACCTTTCCCTAGCCTTCTCTGTGGGTATTAAACTTAGTACTTGAGCTGCCATTAGGGCCTGCCGCGCCAATCCTGTGCTGGACCCCTGCCTTTCCAATTGCATATTATCCTGCGACATAAATCGTATGGCCTGGTTCTCTGCTTCCTCAGTGGTAAATGCGGGTTCGGGTTGGGTGGCAATATTTGGCGATGACATGTGCTGGGGTGTAGTGGCCCTTTTTATAGCCGATACTTTGCTATCCTCTGTCGGTAAAAATCCAGCTCCAAATGGTGGCAATTCCTTACCAGGAGGATATAATTTTAGCCTCAAACGAGATCTACATGCCTGTACAGCAATTGGCCTGATCGGACCATTTGCCACTGCACCAGTCCCATTTGGAGTATCACTTAAATTACTACGTAAGGAAGAATTGGATGGCGAACCATATGAGCTGTCGACCAAAGGAAATGTCATGGGTTTGCCGGTAACCGGACTCTGAGGAGCACTGGCACATTCAGTTAAATTGGCACTCGTTGCCAAACCCCCTGGCGGCTGTAGACTACCATTTGGATTTAGTATCGACGAATTCAAGGACAACGATGTATTATCTGCTGTGGTCCAACTCAATGACATATTGTCCTTACGCCCAACAACTTGTCCTGCATCTGGAATGGAATTGTAGCGCACTGTTACCGGGGGTGTTGCCGGTTTCTTCTCCGCCTTGCAGCATAAACTAAACTGATGACTAAACCTATTGTGATTGGGTGAGCGATGTTTGGGTGCCTTCCTCAGTACCACATCTGTGGTGCCACCATCACTCTGCGAACCATCTGTGCTGTGACGATGAATGTGACTTTTGTTCTTCCCAGCCTTCACCTTGCGGTGCAAATTGATAATACCACTGCTGTAAGACTTTTCCATGTTCGCTGCATCTTTCATCATATCCCCCGGGGTGACATTATTCGGTAGTGTGTGACTCTTGGATTTATTCGCCACATGATTAACCTCATTCAACAGTGAGGGTGATTTCTTCTCCGAGTTGCACTTGGCAAATGAGGTGTCATGCCCAATGCCACCATCACAAGAAGTGCTCATGTGATTGTGGTGAGTGCTCCCACTATTGGTAGTGGCTGTTCGGCTGTTGTTTTGCTCCACTTCAACACTTGGATGTGGTTCAACTTTTGTGGAACGTTTGCTAAGTAGGCCAAAAAGGCCAGAACCTGCTGATTTATTTGAATGGCGAGGGCTTGAGTTGGCGCTGGCAATGCGCTCTTCACTGCTGCCGCGTTGCATGTTGCGTTGTGTGTTTTTGTTTTCTTGTTGTTGTTTTTATAAGAGTAAAATTTAGAATTTGAGCATATTTATTAGGCGAGATAATAGAGTTGGAGGGAGAATAGGTTGTGTTGTTGTTTGTATGTTTTTTTCAGGAACCAGTAAGTTTAAAGATTGTTTGTTGTTAACATTAAAGTAATTTGTTTATAATCTGTAAGAAGTGGAAGAAGAAAAAATATGCATTTGAAATTAATATTTTGGATCAACTTCGATGTATATCTGATAGAATAATATAGAATGGTAAAAAAAAGAATTCATAACAAACACTTCAAATAGTTGTATCAAAATCACACTCAGCCTGATGGCATCTCATAGAAAAACTTTTTTTTAGACAGTAAATACATATATGCGATGTTACAAACCAATAAAGTAATTTATTAACGATTTTAACACCGGCCGTTTGATAATCATCGAAAGTTGAAATCGGGAAAAGGGGGTCTCCTTAAGCGAATAGAACTTTGTATGAGTTTTTTGGTAATACATTGCTACTATTTAAAATGGGATATATCGGTCCACATTTTGGTATAGCCCCCATATAACGCTGCCTCCCAAATGACAATATTTTGAGAAATTCGGTAGCAAATCTTCGTACCATTTGTACAAAAGCCCCCATACAGCGGTACCCGGTTTTTAAAACGAGTTGCCTCTTCTTTCGTATTTTGGGTTTTCATTATTTAACAAACATTTTACAATAGCCTATATATAACCGTACCTCTCTATATTTTTATACCCTCCACCATAAGTTGGAGTGAATAATACTTTTGTCATTCCGTTTGCAACACCTCGAAATATTCACCGGATACCCCACAAAGTGTATATTCTGTCTGTCCGTCTGTTGAAATCACAATAGAGATCGCAACATTTAAGATAGAGATCTGAAATTTTGTACAGACTTTGCTAGTACCCATAGGATGTTTGGTATTGCAATCGGTCCATGTTATGGTGTACACCCCATATAACGGTAACACCCAATATTTGGTATTTTGGGAATTATGGTCATATTACCCTACCGAACTGGCTATAATTTGGTATTTTGGGTTATCACTGAATAACACATAGCCGTACCAAAAAATATTAATATTGGCCTACTTTCAGGGTAGCCCCCATATCCGGTATTTTGGCGATTTTGGGCAGGTTTTCCAATCGAGTTGGCTGTAATTTGGTATTTTTGTTTCTCATTTAATAACACATATCCCTTCCAAAAAATATTATTATTTCAGAGTAGCCACAATATAACGGTAACCCCCCAGTACTAGGTGTCTTGGGGATTTTGGAAACGTTATCCCACCAACTTTGCTGTAATTTTGTATTTTGGGTTCTCATTCTATAGCACATTTCCGTACTAAAAATGTTTAATATTGACTTTGTTTTCGCCATTAATTTTAGATATTTTGATTACCATCCTCATGGTAGAGGACTTTAACATTGGTAATCAAACGTATGGTGTAGGTAACTATATATATATATATACATATATAATCATTGTTTTTTTATTTAATAATTGAATGTGTTACAATATATTTTGTCTGACACAAACGTAAACACCCTCACATCCATTTGAGGATTCCGTTAATGGTTAATGGAAGCAATTACAAGTGCAGACAGCACGCAATATAATGCATGGCATGCTAACATTTCAATTTTAATGTATAATTATTTTTAAGATTCTAAAAATAACGCATTTTTTATAAAATAAAAATAATTACAAAAAAAGTAAATACCTTTTTTATTTCATTTTTCAAGTGGCATATTTTTAGGCCAACTAGTAATATTTGTAGTCTGCTTTCAGGCGAGTATATATTTACAATGTTGTGGTATTCTTTGTCAAAATTAACACTTAGCTCATGTTTCAAAGGCATTCATTTGTTTATTATTAAATTTAACAATTCCCTTTAATATTTTTTTATTCCAATAATAATAACAATAATAATATTTACGGGTTTTCGTATAATAATATCAGTTTACATTTCAAAACAAACACTGCAGATACATATAATAATAATTTTTATTTCATCAACCACATCAACAACATTTTTTATGTAATCCATTTGTATATTGCAATAAATCTCACTAAAAAATATTTTATTTTATATTTTCTTTTTCTAGTTTTCATTCGACGTAATATGCAATTTAATATTTTTTTTTCATGTAAATTTGTGTTTCGGTTGCTTTCAACGGTGACAATATCCCAAAAACGAAACTAGACTAGAATATCATCACCAAACAATGACCAGTGAATAGCCGCTTTTGAATGAGCAGAAAAAAAAACTGATTTTGATTTTCATAAAACGCGAATGTCGAGGTCTGAGATTTTGTTTTGTTTTCTGTGGCGTGTCGTTTCAATTCGGTTGCAGTTTCTCTTTCGGGCGACGATTTGCGTGACAATTGTTTTTGTTTTTTTTTTCGTCTTCACAAAACTAATGTCGTTGATGCTGCCTACCACTGGTGTTGTCAGCTACTACTGTTGCTGTTTGCCACGGCCGCCGCCGCCTCTGGTTATGGTTTGTTGTCATCGTGCTCATTGCTGATGTAATTGTTATTGTTGCATTTGTTTTTGTTTATTGTTGTTGATGCTGCTGCTGAGATTTTTCTTATGCTAATTGGTCATTTATCTAAACACGTTGCTGTTGTTATTTGTCTTGGTTATTTATTCGACTGTTTGTCGTTTTGTTTTCTTGATTATATTCCTATTGTGGCTACATAGAAGAAAGGAATAGATAAGCATTTTTAATAAACGGTGGCACACGGCATCATTATGGGGAAAATAACAGTCAGTCAGTACCAGTAACATTCAGAAACATTCCTCAATTCCATATATTCGCAGAAAATGAAAAATAGGAAAACTTTTCTATTACTCTACAGTTGCCTTCAAGTGTAAATAAATTTGTGGTCAAAATGTAAACATTTCGATCCACCTTTTCTGATATCTATCTCAGGAAATTGCCAACATTTTTACGAAACACAATATAGAATTCGATTTGGCCCAAACTTTTCACTAAATGAACTCCTGCTATACCTTCCCCACAAACGATCAACATTAGGTCGAAACATAGCATATTTTTACCAAATCTAGAAAGAGTTTCTCTCGCACAAAGGGATAAAATTGAAAGAAAACATGAGCATTCGGTCCGATCCACATTTTGTACTTCATTATTTTTTAACAAACCTAAATCAAGTTCGAAGATTAAGTTCAATTTGTTATTAGTATAAAGCGAATTGATATTTATATGGAATGGAAGCATTATTGGTTCTTTGGAATGATTCATTTAATTTTCCCTATGTAGAACCCTATCGAATTTTATGAACATCGGTCCGACCCCAATGAATAGAAAAAAATCCATGCAAGCAATTTTTTTTTTTTTTTTTTTGATCCATTCAATTTTAAGCTATAGTGCGGAACTTTTAAATTAATACTCACATTTTCCAAAATCCATTTTCTCCATAAGGTCATTCCGATTACAACACCTCGAAATATTCAGTACAAAATTCCATGTCGATTTACGCATGTCCGTGTGTTGAAATCACGATAGTGATCACAATATTTAATATAGAGCTCTGGTAGTGCAATATTAGGTATTTTGGGGATTTTGGCACGTTTTCCAACCCAATTGGCTGTAATTTGGCATTTTGGGTTCTCATGATATAACACATATCCGTACCATGAAGTATTAATATTTGGGTCAATATTAATACTTCATGGTAGCCCCCATGTAGACCCGGTACCCCCCCCCCCCGGTATTTTGGGGATTTTGGACAGGTTTTCCAATCGAAATGGTTGTAATTTGGTATTTTGGGTTTGCATGATATAGCACATATCCGTACCAAAAATTAATTAATAATTAATATTGAGTTTCAGGGTATTCCCAATATAACGGTACACCCCAGTATTCGGTATTCTAGGGATTTTGGACACATGTTTGCATCTAATTGTCTGTAATTTGGTATTTGGGGTTCTCATTAAATAACACATATCCGTACCAACAATTATTAATATTGACCCTAGTTTCAGGGTAGCCACCATATAAAGGTACTCTCCAGTATTCGGTATTTTGGGGATTTTGGACGTTTTCCAACCAACTTGCTTGCAATTTTGTATTGACTGTAATTTGGTATTTTGCTACCTGAAATTATTAATATTAACCCAAGATGGAATTTTGAAAAGTTTGGACAGGTTTTTCTACCGAATTAGGGTGTAATTTCGTATATTGTATTCTCATTGTCAAATCTCACTACCGTTTTATTATAGGCCTATACAACGGTACCCCACTATTACATATTTTCAATATTTCATGTTGAAGGGTATAAATAGTTCGGTCGAGCCAAACTCGTTTTTTATTTATTACTTTTTAACTAGGAGGCTATTCTAGCGAAAATATGTCTACATACAAAACATTTTTCCATCCTAAGACTTCAAAAAAATCAAAAAAAAATTGGACAATATTCAGGATATTTGCAATAGACCAGAGTATTCTGACTTGTACCAGACCGGATGTTTCCCATTTTGTCCATGTTTCTAATCAAATGGGCCACGAAATCCCCTTTAGCACAATTGTAACAACCAACCTGCCAAACGTTGATAATGTTCGACAACGATCCAACCCATTTGCTGAACTTTTCATATCAGTTTTCAAAATCCATAGCTTGAGTACCAAGCCTAAGAGTAAACATATTTGTCCACATATTTTTAATATACTTTGAGCCACTGTACGTTTATTCACATAAACTTATATATGCATGTATAAATATCTATCCCTAAAGATACATATATGCGCATATAATAGACAATTTTGATTTACACATGCAATTTCTTGAAATATTCCTTTAAGGGGGCAAACTCATGTGAGTTGATGAGCTGATTGCTGTTTGGTGCTACTGCTGCGGTTGAGACGATTACCGTTGATACAGTATATATATTTTTTTCTATTTTGATTGTTTGTAATGACTGTGATATTTCCTAGATGTCTGGTCGTAGGAAAATAAAAACAGATGTTGGCAAAGGTTTACTTGG